CTATTATGGTGATATGTCATTTAGTCTGTTATGGTGGTACGTCATGTAAATTATGATGGTATGTCATGTAGTCTGTTATGGTGATACGTCACGTAGTTTAAGATGATACGTCATATAGTCTGTTATGGTGATATGTCATGTAGTCTGTTATGGTGGTACGTCACGTAGTTCATGATGATACGTCATGAGTCTGTTATGGTGATATGTCATGTAGTCTGTTATGGTGGTACGTCATTTAGTTTATGGTGAAACGCCATGTATAGTCTGTTGAAGTGGTCGATCCCGTAGAGCATGTTATCTTTTACTGGTAGACCATGTAGACTTTTTTAATGGTAGGTCTCCTTCCGTAAGGAAAGATTTCGAGTTTGTTGCCTTTTTCTAGTCAGCTCTAATGGTGGCAGGTCGCCTTTTATAATGATTGATAACATTGTTCATGTTATAATAGAATACAAATAATGTCATATTGTTAAGATTAATATTAAATGTTGTTTTTGTGAGGATAAATTACATTTACCCACTTTAAACATATACTATGGCGTTTCGTTCACCTTTTGATCGAAGACATTCGTCTGCATGTTATTCATTTGAATTCTTCTGAAATAAACATTCGTTTCAACACAGTACAACCCGTTGAACTGGGCCTACTGCCGGAGTGTGAAAAAGTCGTGTGCCTTTCTGAGACAGTACTGTTCGTCCATGATAGATGAGAGGCTGGCCGCCATGGCAGATGATACCCATGTTCCTGACGACATCCTCACACACATGGTTCGTGTTCATGGTAAGTCACTCCAAACGTTCTGGTAACGCTAATCAGTTTTGTTAAGACAGAATTTTATTCAATAATCCAACATGTTTAGCCCAATCCTATATTTTCATAGGGATAGGAAAACAAGCTTTGAGCTTGTATTAATTCTTCTTCAAAATGCTAAAGATCGAGACCTTGCTTCTTTGTCCTAGACTTAGATAGTGGGTGTTGTCGATAAAACAAAAGACGCTTACCTTTCCGAAACTCCTGGGCTTATTTTCTTAGATTTTCTGGATAATAACTCACAACTTATAATATTAAAAGGGAAATTTATATGAAAGCCAAATTATTTACTTCATACACATTGGGAAAGTTTGAGATTTTGCATTAAGAATTAATTTCATTTTAAAATTTTGTATAGAGAAATGTATAGCGTTTCCTTGTGCAAAAATGCATCCACAATTGTTTCATTCTTAGAGCCGAAAACTTTACATGACCGGCAGATTCTCTTGGATAACTTCCTAACGTTTTTCTTGGCGGGCAAGTATATTTTCTTACTTCAAGCTCAAGTTTTCACTGTTTAGTCATGGCAATGCTCACTATCATTTTACAACTATATACTTATATCAAGAGAAGGTTTTATAGAATTCCATAGACATTTAACAGGTAGACACCATGCCCTGTCTATTGTCATTACACATAGACACCGTGCCCTGTCTATTGTCATTACAGGTAGGCACCATGTCCTGTCTATTATCATTACAGAGAGACAACATTCCCTGACTATTTTCATTACAGGTAGACACCATGCCCTGTTTATTGACATTACAGAGAGACACCATTCCCTGACTATTGTCATTACAGGTAGACACCATGCCCTGTTTATTGCCATTACAGGTAGACACCATGCCCTGTCTATTGTCAATACACATAGACACTCTGCCCTGTCTATTGTCATTACCGATAGACACCATGCCCTGTATATTGTCATTAGCGATAGACAACATGCCCTGTCTGTTGTCATTACACATATACACCGTACCCTGTCTATTGTCATTACACATATACACCATGTCCTGTCTATTGTCATTACACATATACACCATGTCCTGTCTATTGTCATTACACATATACACCAT